ATACTGACGCTGCAGAAACACACAGATTATTGTCTTTGTTCACTGTCAGATGAACAAACTGATCCAGAGTCAGTCAGAGAACGGACTTCAAACCCTGAAGCAGCAGCAGCATCAACAGCAGCAGATGCTGAATGTTTGTTTCTATTCATTGTTCTTCATTGTCTCTTTCTAATTGACCTTCGCTGTTATTAATTCAAAGTTTAAAAACTTTGAAGAAGACAATAAAATTAATGATTAATGTTAATTGATGTTTACATAAGTACAACACGTTATTTAACTTGATCTTTTTTCTTCTAATAACTAAGAGTTATTTTGGTGTGTGTGTATGCTTTTCAGCTGATGATGATGATGATGATGATGATGATGATGAAGCAGCAGCAGTAGCATCAGCATCAGCAGAGGAGGTAGTGAGGCCTCCTCCTCCTCCTCACCTCCTCTGCTGCCGTGAAGTCCCACACTTGTATAAATCCAGCTTTAATCACAGTTGGCAGCACATTCACACACCGTTAGAGTGGAGCTCTGAGCATCAGTGAGAGCAGGGTTTTTGGTGAGTGCAGACCAACAGAGTCAGGCTGATAATAAATGTGATTTGTTTTCTCTGCTGGTGTCTACAGTGCACTTCTTTAAGTGGTGGAGTAAGAGCAATGACCTCTCATAAAGTCCTAATTAAGGTAATGTGTGAATGAGCAGAAGAAGCTGATGGTGATAAATGTTTGTTCCTGTGCAGCTGAAGGTGAAATTTTCTCTGCATTATTCTACACATTCTCAGCAAACAATTATGAAAACAACAAAGCTCATTGGGGTTGCCAGATCTTGAGAAAGAAAAAGAAACCAGGTCTAAAAAAGAAATGACAAGCCCAAACCTGCAACATGAAACACAGGTAGACCATGGAAAAAAACTAGAGGTCTTGTATTTTTTTATAACTATATTTTTAACAAAAGTTATCATAGAAATCCGTGCTAGTGTACTTTTTTCACTAAATATGATTTGGACACATCTGCCTGGCGTCACTTCAAACCAAAACAAAGTCTAACGTAATAACGGAAGTGACTGCCAAAATTTGTTCGACCTTTTGAAAAGTGGCCGAAAGAAAAACCTTACAAATTTTCTTTCTACCACATTGCCATCCTTTCTTTTTTCACATTTTCAACAAAACATTTTTTTCATGTTGTTTTAGCCTAATTTTCAAAGTCCACAATTTGACGGATTTGGTGTGTATACATAATGATATAAATGATCAGTGGTGTACTGTACTGCTAAGGCCAGCCAGGTCTTCTGAGTTTACCTAAACAGTATCAGAATCAGTGATTTAGTTTTCAATATAATTATCATAAATATTTATAAAGTAAAACAGTATTTGTCAGGTCGACATTTTGAATAATATTGCGGCCCGGTGTGTTGCCAGGTTTAAAGAATCCAGGCTTTTGAAATCAGTTGTGAATGGCAACGCGATTGCTTCTTTAACCAATCAGATTTTGAGTTGGCATATTGAGGCCTTCTACCTGGCCGGTAGTTACGTTTGCGATATGTGATTTGATTGGATGGTAAGAGAACATGCAGTCTCGAATGTAGCAATTTACAGCTAGCAACTTGCACGCTAGAAACAGTTTTCTCTGCGTCCTCTGCTTCTGCCGTGCGGACTTCCTCAGCCTCAAGTCATTTAAAACTGAAAACCTTAAATACGACAGGACAGACTGGACTGTTATCGCTAGCACGGATGGACTATAGAAAACACTTGTTGGAACTTCAACACGTCGATAATCAGTACAACAGAGTAATAAACTCTCCCTAAGGAAAGAGAGGAGGATGGATTTGGATTAAAACTGGTCAGACTTTTTGGTGAGTAAAATGTTATTTGTATTTTTAGTAATATCGTAATGTATTATGTTATTATTGATGCTTGTTGAGGTGCGGCAGAATTCTGCATGTGGCAGAATTGTGCTTTTTGGGTTTGTTGCTTTATTATGGCTACATGTGTTATCACGGATATATATATAGAAGACAATTACAACAAACACAGAGCCTTGTTTAGACTAACTAGTCAGAAAATATAAACCTTATTATATCAATATCCAGATAAATTATTAAAACTCACAATGGATGTACAAAAACAAAGTAATATTTTGATATAAAATTAAGATCCAAGTACCAAAAAAGATATAGGGTTAAATATGAAAATTGACTTTGAAAGTATATTTTATAGAAAGAACAAGGAAAAGATCACACTGAACTACACATAATTAAATTAAAATTAATTATGGAAATTAATTCAAACAAGGTGAATGTTAAGATGAAAATAATGAAGCTGCTGCTTTGATTATTTGTTTTTCCATTAACAATTGGAACTTGTAATTGTATATATATATGTAAGAAAATCAAAGAAGAAAAACATTTGTAGATGATTTTTTTTTCTGCTCATCTCTTAAGGAGGCGCTGGGCTGTATTTTGACATGTAAGAGTGTAAGACGCTCTATTCTTTCTCTGCTTTCCTGAAAAGTGCTTTTATTTTAAGATGTTGCAACCAAGCTCATTTATCACAGATTCAGGACTGACCTGGTTTTGGTCCAGTCCAGCTTCCGGATCATTTAGAAACACATTCATCAATCCTGTTATGAATTATTTCTGCTGGAGCTCCATAAATTCTGAGAGATGTACAGGTAGAATAATCCACAACTGAACTTAAAAAAGAAAAAAAAGAAAGAAAGAAGAAAATAAAAGTGGTCATAAACCCAGCACTGGGCTGTGATTGGTTTGAAAACTGTTATTTCTTTACTGCTAATAATTTGCATTTGTCTGAAATTTTTGGAGCTATAAGATTTTAATTTAGTTTAATAACAAAGTAAATCATTTTGAAAATTCTTGAATTGTATTTCTCTCAGCAATGATTGAATTAATTTTATTCTCTCCATTTTCAATGAAATGAGTCAAATTTGAAAAGAGTAAATATTCTGACCAGCGTTTGATGTTGGACGGACGTCTTCACTGATCAACCAGTAAATGTTTGATTTTCATCGGATAAATATTTGAACAGATAAATTAATTTCATACGCTGTCTGCAGATGAGGATCACAGAACAATCCGAGATTTTCGCGGCCTTTGTTTCAGTGTTTTTATCCGTGCTCCTTCAGCTTGGATGTTTTTGTTCTCTGCGTCCTCCTGCGTCCTCCTCTGTCCTCCTTCGTCTACCTCCTCCTCTCCCTTGTCTTTGTTCTTCCCTAATTAACGTGAGATTTTGCTTGGCTGGTTTTCAAAAGAGGAAAAACAGCTCAGCGTCTCTGCGACTCCCTCCATCGCCCTCTGAATCTAAATGACGGCTTTTTAAAAAGTCAAAAGGCATTATAGGAAACAGTGCAGGTTTAAATACGAGTGATGAGGTTTGTGCGGAGTGAGTTCACAGCTGTGAGCATCAATAAAGCAGCAGCAGCTGCATGAGACCAAATAAATACAGCCGAGGAGAGAGGAGCAGGCAGGTAGAGGAGCAGAGAGGAGTATCGTTATGGTTCTTTGTTCAGGGTACTTGTAGGAAGGTTTTCAGTACTGTCTAATGTTGTTCTTCCAGTAAAAACACACATTGTTCCTGGTACTGACCCCAGTTCTCAGTACTTTTAGCTTTTAGTGCTATTTTACCTGGTAGGTGTTGGTGTCTCATCAGTTCTGTTCGTGGCCCTGCAGTTGAAAGGTGTGAAATCACGGTGTTGTTTGTCAGCAAAAGTTCTGACTTTAATTGTTAACAACCAAATGTTTTGATCTTTTATTTTTTCATCTCCTCTGAACGTCAGTTGCTTTTTTCTTCCCTCCTGCTGTTACTGACAACGTTTTTTTTTTTTTTTGTCAACACAGAACTTTTATTTTCATGGCTACGTGCCCGAAGGATGCGTTTTGCTTTCAGGTTTGAATGCATTTGTTTATCTGATCGTTTGCTTTTGTCTGCTGCAGCTGCTGTTGGAGTCTCGGGAATGTTTATTCTCTCAAATTTTTACTACTCAGAATGTTCATCCTTTTGATTGATTTTCTCCTCTTTTCTCTGCTTCTGCTGTTTGCTGGTGATGAGGTCAAAGACTGTATAAGAAGAGAGAAACAGTTCTACTTGGAGTTCCTGGAACCTCCTCCCACTTTGTTGACATTGTAATGAAGCTGTTGTTGTGTGATGAAGTAGAATTGTTTTCTGGATCTGCTCCTCCCACCGTTCCACTGCCTTTATTATGTCTCAGCTCATTAAATATGGGCTGAGTTTGAAGTAGGAGGAGGAGGAGGAAAGATGAAGAGTCATGGGTGAAGCAGAGGCTGATGGTTGTGCTGAACTCATATAAATCATCTAAACACACACGCACGCACACACACTGACAATTTAACAATGTTTAAAGTTTAACATCAATACATGATTTGAACTTAGCTGTCAGTCAAATGTGGAACTTTGTACAAACATGTTTTTTTAGGACAAGTACAGACACAGTCACAGACAGTCAGGGACACAGACAGTCACAGAAATAGTAATAGGCAGATTTGGAGTCATAAACAGAGTGGGGAACATGGGGCGGCAGACAAAGTCACACATATATATGTTTATATACGTATATGTATATATATGTGTGTGTGTGTATACATACATACATATACACTGTATATATGTTTATATATATAAACATATATGCAGTGTATGTATATATATACACATATACACATATATACATACATACATACATACATATACATATATATATCAACGGACACACTTTATGTCACAATCACAGACCTAGTCAGAGGCACACGCAGTCAAAGACAGTCTTTGACTGTGAGAGTCATAGACGGACAGATTCAAAGAAAATCATAGACTGGGATTACCACAAGAACCAATACTTCGGTACCAAAGAGACAGTCGGAGAGACAGTGGGAGTCACAGACAGAGCCAGAGTGTGATACACACAGACACAGTCTGTAACTCCATTGCAGTTCATCATCATTTTGAAATTTTATGATGTGACTTCTGTCTGTCTTCAATGGAAAGTTTTGAACAAAGAAAGTTTGAACACACACACACACACACACACACACACTGTCATTTTTTAATGAAAGTCACACTAAGGAGCAGCTCTTTGATAAAGACTAATTCTTTGATGAAGCTCAGTGATCACATCTCTGGGCCTGAAACAATGAAGCTGCTGCTGCGGAGTCTCACAGCGACCTTTGTCTTTGGGTCATCTCAGGACACGTGTCAGTGTTTTAGCACAAAGCGTCATGTCAGGCGTCATGTCTTAACGAACTAGCTGCTGCTGCTGTTGGAAAAAAATGCATCACGAATATCTCAAACATCGCGTTTTGTGATTTTTATAATGAATCAAATGGTCTTATGAAAGGCTTCCGATCCGAATCTCTCTGGTCTTTTTGATTTGGACAGTAAATGTGTTGATGTCGAAATACTTGATCACAAGTTTTAAGTGTTGCTGATGGAGCCAGTGGTTGCTGCTAAAACATAAGAAATGTGTGGGGAAGGGTCAGGATCAGCCCACTTCATGTTCTACTGACTCCGAATATTTCAGCCCAGCAAATGTTAAAGGTTAGTTCTGCTGCGAAGGATTAAATCCTGAAACTGTAGTTTATTAAATAAAACTACATTGAAAAGAGCGATTATTTTTGGACGCGTCGTCATTAAAAGTGCAGAGGAAGGTTGGGGAGAGCAGACGCTGTTATCTCATAAAGCCTGAAGTGTTTGGCCATGAATCAACCCGGAATCTTCTCCTGAGCTTTAAAAGTGAGAGCAGACTGATGGACCGGTTACGTCCAGGTTCCTGAGCCCGAGTCTCCAAACAGCTGCCACTTCCTGTAAATGTTCGTCTGAGGAATAGTCGCCGTCTCCACATCTGTGTCAGCGGAAAGTGTCAGACTTTCCACTGAATTAAACTGCAATTAACTTGAATTTACTTCAATTAACTTTAATTACCGTCACAGTCTGAGTGATTGGTACCAGAACCAATGACTGGCTGTGGGTAAGGCTCCAATATCTGTTCACATCTTAGCTCTCAACAGAAAACACCTCAGGCGTGAGAGATGAGATGCATCAAAATCTCATGAAGACGACCGGAGTGACCTTCACGTAGATCAGCTGTTCACCTTTCTTTGTGTTTTACTGAACACCGATGTAGGAACACGGACCGTCGACCGTGAACCCTCATGTAAAACATTGTTTTAAATTAAAATTACGCACTGATCCATTTGAATGAAACACAGGTGCTTATTTTCAAAAATGTGTTGTCTCTTCATTACTGCAGTACCTCAGCTAAACCTCTGCTCATGATTTAAAGAGGTCTTAAATACACAAATGAGCCGAGGGTCTGTGCTGCCACTACCACAGTAGTTATCAATGTTCTATATATAAAGAAACCCTGATATTATTTAAACTCTGTATAACACAACCATGCAAATGAAGACAAATTATTAGCAAACAACAAACAAGCAAAACACAATTAAAATCCAGAAGAACAAAAGTACATGATAATTGACATATAGTTGGGGACCGGATTTATAGGTTTTGTGGGCCACTTGTGGGCCCACACCCCTGATTTAAACCCTGTTGAATTCCTAGCTTATTTCTTTTCAATGATTCATCTGTGTCTTTGTTGAACCTGATCAGATCAGATCTGTTTGGAGTTCTGCAGACATTCTGACAAAGGGGAGGCAGAACCGGAGAACCATGGAACAAACAGAAGAACAAAGATGAGAAAAGGAAACGTTTAAAAAAAACAGAGGCTGTTCTCCTCTAACAGACCGTGTGATTCCATCGTCCTCAAACGCACTGCGATGGTAAATATTCCCTGCTCCGTCTGCGTTAATGTTTCCTCTGAGACACAGTCACACCTGACTCTCAGATCAAACACGTCACTGAATAACACTTCACTGAGTCGGGGAACGGAGGAGCAGGAAGAGGAGCCGCAGGTGGTGTTCACAAAGACAAAGATTGGAGTTTCTTTTCTTTTTTCTTTTTTTCTTTTTTGAGGTGACATTTTCTGCTCTGCTAGTTTTTCAAAGACATTAAGGAGTTGAGTAAAATTTAAAAAGAATCCAGCCAAATTTATTAGAAATAAATAATCAGGTCAAGGACTGAAAACCAAGGAATTATTCACAGCTGGAGAGAGAAAAGATGCTTAAAAGATAAAAAGAGGAGGAAGAAAAGAATGAAGGGAGGTGGAAAAAAGGAGGGAGCGTGAATCGTAAAAGAAAGGACGAGAGAAAAAAAGAGACAACAATAAGGGAGGAAGATGGAGACAGGATGATGGGAAAAAGAAGAAGAGTGACCTCCTGCAGAGATTAAAATATAAACCCTAAAAACAAGATACAGTCAGATGTCCGTGAGATTTCTTCTTCATGAGAAGACCCAGTGAGTTCCGACAGTTGACTGTTCTCTGCTCCGTGAATATCAACATCACTGATGAGTCTTCCTCTGTTTTTCCCCTGACTGATGATGAAACATTGGAGCTGAATGTTTTATGTTTATTGTAACAACACTCCTGGTCCTTCCCACTGTAACAACAGTCGCTCATGCGCCACGTTCCGTTTGGTCTGCTCCACTCATTTGAAGACTCCTCTCATTAACATCATCACCTCCCTCGGCCCCTGACTCCCTCTTATGTAACACCCGTGTCGGATGGAGGTGGAGAGTGGGAGAAGTGACAGTCGAAGCATCGTCTCCACAACTGACTCTGACACCAGGTCAGTCAACCTGACAGCTGGAGATGAGGCTGCTGTTGCATCAACTACTACTCCTTTTCTTCATCCTCCTCCTCCTCATCACCATCCTCCTCATATATTTTTTCTTCCTAGTCCTTTTAGACTTCCTCCTCCTCCTATGCCTCTTTTTCATCCTTCTCCTTTTGCTCCTCCTCCTTGTTATCATCATTGTGACCGTCATGATTATCATCTTCATCATCGCCCTCTTTCTCCTCCTCCTCTTCTTCCTCCTCCTGCTCCTCCAACACCATTGACCTCCCTCTCACTCAGAGTTGTGTTTGTCTGTCAGTACCTTGTTGTGAATGAAGGTTCTTCGAACCTCTTCCACATCTACTTTATGAAAGGACCAGTAATCTGATTACTCTCGCCTTGACACTGATGTTAAACCAGATGAACTCCTGAACCTGACCAGTGTCACTCCAACTGTCACCGCAGTGTCTCTCAGAACTTTGTTACTTTCAGAAAACTGTCAGTCACGAGGACTCACCACTGTCAAAGAAACGAACAAATAAATGCAAATGAATGAATAATTAAAACCACAACTGACTGACAGCAGACAAACTCCATCAATCTGGTGTTTCCTCCAAAAACTGAGTGAGAAGACAATGTTGATATATAAGCAAACAAGGAAGAGAGAGAAAATCAGTGATTTTAGCTCACAGACCAAAGTCCATAGAGAAAATCAGTGATTTTAGCTCACAGACCAAAGTCCATAGAGAAAATCAGTGATTTTAGCTCACAGACCAAAGTCCATAGAGAAAATCAGTGATTTTAGCTCACAGACCAAAGTCCATAGAGAAAATCAGTGATTTTAGCTCACAGACCAAAGTCCATAGAGAAAATCAGTGATTTTAGCTCACAGACCAAAGTCCATAGAGAAAATCAGTGATTTTAGCTCACAGACCAAAGTCCATAGAGAAAATCAGTGATTTTAGCTCACAGACCAAAGTCCATAGAGAAAATCAGTGATTTTAGCTCACAGACCAAAGTCCATAGAGAAAATCAGTGATTTTAGCTCACAGACCAAAGTCCATAGAGAAAATCAGTGATTTTAGCTCACATACCAAAATCCATAAAGAACATCAGTGATTTTAGCTCACAGACCAAAGAGTCTATGAGCTAGACTAGACTAATATTTGTTGAAAGTCCTTCACTGTGGCAAATTGAAATATTGATCTATTTGTCATCAGCAGGGAAAACCACATTTAAATAATTCAAAACAAACCCTTGTAATAATATCCTTAGTATTAACTCAGGATTCTGTTGTAAAATAGAATCATTTCAGCAAATTTAGGATATTTTACTCTGTGAAGAGGCTCTTATCCATTCAGTGCTTATGTTCACTGTCAAAAATATTAAAACAATTACAAATATGCAATTTTCCAGACCTTTGTGTAGCCGTTAAAATCCTGTTAATGTTTTCCCCTGCTGCGGTGAAACAGCTGATTGTGTTTCTTTTTTTCCAACACCAACACTGTTAGATATAATGGTGTGGAACAAACTCCACTGTGTGATTTCACAGAAAACGTTTCTGCTCTACATTACTAAACAATTACACACCTTTTCTGCTCATTATATCCTCACAGTGGTGTAAACACTACACTGCGTTTGCTCTAACACTGTGTCTATGTGTGTGTGCTGGGTGGTTGGGGTTTGGGGTGGGGGACTGAAACGCTCTGCTGAGACCTAATCTGCACTTTCACTTGTTTCACCATCAATAAAAACATGATCTTTGTCCATGCTAATAAAGTGTGATGTCACACTCAGCAGCTCTCTGCTGCTTTAATGTCTTTTTAATGGCATTTTGCGAAAACTGTAGATTTTCAAAGCAGCTTCACACTGTGAAGACTTTGAGCGTAAAAAAAAAGAAGAAATCACTGTTAGTTTTGGTCTCATCAGGAGACTCTCATTAAAATGATTTTACTGTTGCCGTCTGGACTGAAGTCTGCCCACAACCTTGGTATCATGGGAACTATTTAATCCAAAATGGAATGGGTTTGAAGGAGAAGTCCAAAAATACTGGACAGTTAACAAATCAGGGATGAGTTCAACATTCATTACATTTGAACACACATCTGGTCATGTGATGAGGATGATTTTGTTCCCTTCATCTCTTTATTTTTATTTATCGCTTCTTGCACAGTGACTGCCTTTCTGTTTGGACAAAAAGTTCTGCACGATATCAGTCAGCCTCACATGGAACTGTTTACAGAATCGCATCTCATATCTGTCACGGAACTCGTTTATCTTTTCAAGGGTACGCGATCTTTGTGGGATCTTTTTAAAGGTGTAAAACGGATTTGTACGAAACGGGCAATGATAAACATCTTGTCTGTCAGAGATTCTCCTGCAGATAACGACGTGATGAAAATGCCACGGTGGGATGTCTCAGCGTAGGGAGAGGCCTTCTCTCTGGGCCTTGGTGTCTGTTTATGAGGAGCAGCGTGGTAAATGAGTGTTGACAGGTCAGAGGTCATTCATCAGGGAAAATAAGCAGCGTGAGCCCAGAGAGCATCAGAGATTCAAGACTGGAATGAATTTTTACACTAACAAATTTAATCTCTGCTGCTGCTGCTCGTTTATAACGGGGAGATTACAACAGGAATCCGCAGGGAGCTGCAGGCGGGAGGAGCATGCCTGGAGGAGTGTGTGAGAGGACAGTTCTTGAAAAGAGTTGTGAAAACTCTGGAGATAGAAACACTGGTGGACTGGTGTTTTCATAGTCTCTTACCAGGGCTTGGTTGACATGCTAATATTATTACATTAACACAGTCAATTAACCATAATTAATTCAGTTGTCAAAGATGAAAAAAGTTTATTGGGTGGTTCCATTGTGTAGAGGTTATCACACCTACCTTGCAAACAGAGAGCAGAGAGTCCTTGGTTCAATTCCCAAAACTACATATCCCTGATGGTGTCTCCCGTGTGGCAGTCTGTGTCAGTTGCAAAAACAAACACTGTAAATTTCTCCATTATGGGTCAAAAAAGGGACTTTATATTATTTTTATTATTATTATTCCTTATTCTGACGGGGGTCCTTGACATCGAAATTCCGTTCCTACAGTGCAACGTAACACGATGTCCGCCAATTCACATACTGTATATTAGTACTGGTCACTCACCTATGCTAATACAGTGGTGAAGACATAATCTAAGACATAAAAACATCAGAAGAGTCTGACTTAGGCCTGAGAGCCATAATGATGGGTAAAAAGAAATCCCAAAAAACAAACCAAATGAAAGAAAGACAACTTCCACATATAGTGCTAGTGAATGAAGGACGAGCCTTTCTTAATAAATTTACAATATAGATGGCGACGTACCAAACACCGTAGGTCGAGGACGTCATAAACTGAGAACCTGCTGTATTTCTGTGTGTAAACAGCATTCAGTGGTGGTGATGAATGTTGAACTGCACTCCTCTGTGGTTAACCTCAGTGCTCTATGTATTACAAGTACAGTAGCTAGCTTGTAGCCTTCTCTCAGCTCACTGTAAAGAACCTCCAAGCTAACAACATGTTATGATCACTGTCCAGTCGATCGATGCATCTCCAGCTCATGAGACATGTTTTATAACATGTGAGTCAAACTCAACTTCGAACATTGTGAACAGTTTCTTGGACTTTTCTCAATTACGTTTCTCAAACCACGACTTCACATCGTTAAAAAGGACAAGACAAGAAATGTTCTGGTAGAAAAAAGAAAATGAATTTTGTTTCCTGCAGAGGATTTGAAGGTAAAAACCGATAAGGAAGCTTTTCTTGAATCAGCTGCAGCTTCAGGACATTTTTAAGCAGAACTTTCTTCTCTTTTATTCTGGTTTTCAGATGAAAATTGGCAATCCCATAATAATCCACTTAGAGGCGTGCAGGCAGCTGAGAGCAGACTCAGCAGCACTTTTCACTTCAGAGGCTGCAGACACCTCAGGCTTCCTCTTCTCCATCACCATCATCATCATCATCATCATCATCATCATCGTCCTCATCATCATCGTGGGTCCGAGCAGAAAGCTCTCATCTCGCAGCATCCTGTGTAATCCCACATCAAAGGTCCAGAAGGACGTGGGTTCTCACACAGAGACTTCTGCTTTATCTCCACTCTGCAGGTCACTTCTTCACTCGGGCGGCGCTCGCTGTGATGGTGCAGGCCACGCTCATGAATCCACGCTCAGAAGGAGAAGCTGCGGACGTTTGATGTCAGTTTGTCACAGCGCCTCAGGAAACAGCTGACGAGGAGTGAGCAGAGAGGGAAAATCTTCCGGAATTTCAACAGTAAGTTTCATGCAGCGACCTGAGAAAACATTCCCATTCCGTCAGTCGGAAACACAACGGCATAGTCTCGCTGTAATCTTCAGGATCAGACACAGGTGGAGCTGCAGGAATCTGCCCACGTTTGGGAGGAAAAGAGTGAAGGTGGGAAATGATTTCTTTCCTACACCACTGGTTGTCTGAACCTAGTGTCTTCACTGCACTGGTTTTCATGGGTTCCTTGGAACTCTGCGAAGTCATCAGTGACACACAGTGAAGATCAGAGCGTTAAACTCTCTCGGTTTTAAGATTGGCAGCCTCCAAAATGACAACTGCCAGGAAAATTACACGAGAAGCAGAGTAAAAATAAAAAAAACATCAGGTAGAATGAATATGACTCTCAAAGTTCAAAAGTCAATAAAAACAATGTGAATTTGTTCTGTTTTAATGAAATGACTAACATATTACCATATACTTGGAGGTCAGAGGTCACTTCTGATTCTGGAGCTGAAGGAGCTGAGCCTCTGTCTGTCTGTGGTTTTAGGTTCAAATCCATAATTTATTCAGTCCAGCCGAAGTTACCTGACCATCTGGCCAATTTACTTTACATGCTTTAGTCGTCATGACAACAAAGATTTATATGCTCACTTTTTACACAATTGAATTATACAATTTTAAATCCAACAAAAACTATTTTCCTAAAAATAATATAGTTTGGTTTGTTTTGTTGAACATTAAACGTTTACATGCCTCTCCAATGACATGAAGGTGGCAGTAGTGAGCATCTAAGACTCCATAGAAGAAGAAGAAGAATAACAGTATGACCCCTTATTAGGGGTCAACTTTATTTTTTCACAGAATACCCTTCCTCACATAATCCAACCTAGAAGGAGGACTGGGCAGCGTTGAACCCAGAACCTTCTGGTGACAATACAAGATCAAAGTACCTTTTCAGATTTGAACAGTCAAATGTCAAAGCAGATGACGTACTTTTCACGTACTTTAACATTTTCACTTCTACAGTAATGAGAGACGGTTGGTAATCAGGCCTTATATCAAGAAGGACATGGGTTTGATCCCCCATTCTTGTGTGTGAGTGATTTGGCATTGTTTTCTTATGGGGATTTTTGAGAGGGGTCAGGTTTTTCAGTAACACAGAGTGTACTTAAAGGGTTTAAGATTTCTAGTCTTGGGTTTGGGTTTGGATTAGAATTAGTGTTATGGTAATGATCAAGATTATCCATACATTTGGAAAGGTTATGGTTGGGATCAGAGGTTAGGCATTCTTGTCCTTACATCTCATGAGAACCTCACCTGTTGTGAATTGTTTTAAATCAGAGCAGAGTCAAGACTGAGTGTTTTTGATACATCACCTGAAGCCACAGTCACAACAGTACAATCAGACATCAACTGTTGTAGGTGTGTTTCTTCTTCTCTCTAACTGTTTCACCGGGAGGCTGACGGTGTCAGAGGTGGAGACACTGACGGGTTCAGTGGAGGGGAGGAGCAGGTCTGCTGTGGTTGGTTGATCAGCTCCGGGGATGAAGATCTGGTTCATGCGACAGACTCAGTGAGATATCGACGGTTTGACCAGAGATAGAGACGGTGAAGAGAAGAGTGTTTCACACTGAGCCACCGCTCTGATGCGGCATTGATCTGAAAAGCTTCAAAAAGCCTCTTAAATTCTTTTCGATATTTGTTTCCACACAGCTTTAATCCTGCAGCTCTGACGGTGTGAGATGAAGGATGGCGTAGATGGACCACCGACAGGCAACTGACAGATGTGTCTTGTGTCTGTGTCCAAACATAGTTGTTATAAAATATATTGTTTGTCCAGGGTGAGAAAAGGAGCAGACTTCATGCAGGAATGTAAACACAACAGTTTTATAGGCATTAATTATGATGTCGTGTTAACAACAGAAGCAGATGTTCCAACAAACAACGACAACAAACAACACGCCACAAAATGTGGCTGCTGTTCATGATCAGGCAACTAGATATTCTTCACTCTTCATCTCCTGTCTGCCTGAGTGCTTTAAAAACACGCACGCACGTACGTACACACGCGCCTTCTTTAAGCCCTCTTCAGACATAATGATATGAAATGGCCCGTTTGACTGAAAAGGATCCAACAGCCTGTAATTAATTATTTGGTGGAGGTTTAAAGTCAAGATGCTTAAAGTTGAAGATTTAAATTGTTTATTTTCTGATCAGAGAAGGTGGTTCACAGCTGAGATCAGAGCTGAGAAGAAGCTGCTGCTACTGTAAAACCATCAATTGTTCTCTGTGCAAGTGAGGAGTGGAGATGAAGATCAGAACCTCACTGTGGTTCTATCATCAAGGCATGTTCATTACATTAGGCTCCCATATTGCTTTGGCTAAATGTATCTGTGGCTTAGTGGTTAAGGAGGTGGTCAGGAAGGCTTCAGGTTCGAATCCACCAGCTGCCAAGTTACCACTGAGGTGCTCTGGCACCGTCCCCGACTGTTCACTTTGGTGATGGGTTAAAAACAGAGGTCACATTTGGTTGTGTGCAGTGGTGAGCTGTGTCACAATGACAAGGAGTTCACTTTCACTTCTAAATGTACAGACATTTCAAAATAAGATGATAAAATAATATTTAAACAAATCCAAAGGTCACCAAGGTGAACGTGACCCTAAAGGTGAAGGGCACATCTCTCCAGAGATGGTTGACAGTCAGATGATGTGATAAAATTGTACTTTGTGTTGGACTTTAAATGGAACTTTCTCTTATTTTGTAGTTGGAGTCTGCTCTTCTGTCATTTGTGATCTTTTCCGGTATTTAAAGAGGCAAATTTTGAAATAGTTTTTATAATTGAGATTATTAAAAAAAAAAATTTTTAGTAACATTTCACTATCACATTATTTATATAAATATATATAATTTACGTTGACTTTAAAGTAAAAAAAACCCCAGGAAAATAGCAGAGAGTTAAAATCTAATACTTTTAGAGGTTTTTTTAAAAGCCTTGATTTGCACCCTGATCATAACTCCTGTGTGGGAAGCTCAGCTGATGTCCAGACAGACAGTTGTTGGTGTGTGTGTGTGTGTGTGTGTGTGTGTGTGTGAGAGAGAGAGAGAGACAGTGAAGCAGCTGCAGACAGATGTTCTACAACATGTGCAAAATATTGAGTTGTCTTTTTTTTAAATCCTGCTAAACTCCCAGTTGGAGTAAAGAAAAAATGAGGAAAGGTGTTCATTCAGCAGAAGTGAATCCTCAGTGAAGTTTCACAAAAGTGCAGTGCAGAGACAAACGTTGGACAAATCTCCGTGTTCCGGTCAGTGACTCGTGGAGGAAAGCTGCAGCTGCAGAAATTCAAAGACAAGAACATTTGTGTGACCTTAGCTCCTCTCGTGCAGCTGTTGAATCTCTTACGTCCCGGGAGATTTTACCTGCGAGAAACACATGGTGGATTTTATTGGACTTGTCAGAATAAAAGTGAACTGTCAGGATCCTCCTGAACAAATTCATCGCACAACACCGGCCCTTACGCCTGTGCAGCTGGGCTAGGCTACGGCGGTGACTAGGCTGCTGCTGCTGCTGC